ATGAAGAACTCTGGAATTAAGTCCTATTTTATTTGTTTGTATCCAATAGTTATTGCCTCATCATGTCCAAGAGCATTTGCTGAGGAAATATGTTGGAAGAAAGAAATGTCCTTCTATTTCTTTATGGGGTGGGGTAAGTGTGCGAATGTTGTCCAACAGGGAGTGTATGTATCAACCCTTTGAAGTAATGAACAATTAAACTCTCCCTCCAATATCCATACATTATCCAGCAAACAGGTGGTGAGAATACCCAAATTATCAGGTAGAAGTTGTTATCTGTAACCAGGCATTTTTCCGGAAAAAAAAAGGGGGGGAGGGCAGGAAGAGGGGAGAGGGGAGAGAGGAGAGGAATGACTGATACAAGACACCTATCAAAGTCACTATTTTATAATATTCACTCGCCGTCATCTATTGGAAGATAATTTTGCACAATTAATGCTTTCAAATAATACTAATAATAAACTATTTGAGGCATAAAACACGGATTTCTGTGCAACACGTGTGAAGGTTTTAACTCCGTTTTTTTTTTTGTCTCAGGATGTCCCGCTGCTCTGGTCGGAGTTTCCGCTGGCTTAGCGAACGAGGGCTACGGAAACCAGAGATTGTAAGTCAACTTTGTATGGTCTCTGTAGAACTTTTTACCAGCCCGTGTAAATAGTTTGTTTTTACTTTTAACATTCCCAAACCAAGCAATAGATAGTGACAGTTCCCACTAAATCTCGTGACATTTGACCTTTTTTTTCATTACTTTTCAGCTGCTGGATGTCAACAGATGGAACACTTATCTGGACGTTTACGATTCCGATCATCATTATTGTCGCGGTAAGTAGCTTCACGAATGATCCCACTCCCGACAACACATGTCAATGTTAACGGCAAACAAAGAGGTAAATCTCTTGTGGTAAACGGATTATCAATTGAATTAAAAATCTTTCTAAAAACATCCAGTGACATCTCTAGGAAGCTGGTCTCATTCCCGTTCTCCTTACAACATCATCACGATATGAAGCAGGGCGGTGACGAGAAAAAAAGAAAAAGTATATCAACTAGGGGATTATTACTCGATGCAATACCAAATTCTCCGAACTAACATCATTAGAATTGTCTTACTAATGAGAAGAGTTAATGTCAACCGTCCACTTTTCACCTGTTCTTCTTCATCTTGTTTTCCCATCCTCTTCTTTTTGTTTATTTTTATTTTATTTTCTTATTTCTTTGCTGATACTGTGTTGATGAACGGTGGGCCCGTTTTAATTATATTTCGTTTTGTGACTTGGTGTTTGCCTCAGTGGCATTCTTTTGCGCAGTTGACATGCATGTTGCTGTGGCAAACAAAAAAAAAACAACTACATAGAGATGACGGTCTGAAATTGCTCATATTTATACAGAAATTTTGTATTTGTGGAATGGTGCAGTATTTGTATACAGTTACACTGATTGATTTAGTATGTCGTGTTGTTCATTGATTTTCTTTTTATCATCTTAGCTCAACACTCTCGTCTTTATCATGGCGTTGTTCACTTCACTTCAAAAACAATCAAGGAAGAGACGTCGCCGGCATCACCACCATCACCATGACGACGAACAATCTAACCTGACGTAAGATAACACTTTTGACTGATTCATGAGCGTACCAATCGTCTCTTGCTAAAGCCTGGTTTTCTCGAGCGACGCGAGCACAAACACAAGCATAACAGCTCAAAGAGAAGCAAACAAGAATCAAGCGCAAGAATCAAAATTTGTCCTTTTTCTTGTGCTACTCTTTGTGCTCGTCGACGTTCGTTTTCTATTGGCATACTTTCCTGATGCTCGCGTTTGTGCTTGCGCTTGTGTTTGCGTCGCTGGGGAAAACCAGACTTAAGCGTAAAAGACTATTTAACAACTATTCACCGAAGTAGAGGTGGCTCGTGGTGGATATTTACCGAACCGTGAAGCGGCGAGATTAAATATCAACTGCCAGCTTCCTCCACTGGGGTGAATAGTTAACTACCGCGCCATAGATAACGGAAGACATTAGATTTATGCAGACCATCCATTAAAAACCGCTTCCCTTAACTAACCAATCTCCAACTGCTCAGTAACTGAGAAATGTTATAATACCTTAAAATGATA